AAAAAAAAAAAAAAAAAAAAAAAAAAAAAAAAAAAAATCACATTTCTAACAGCAAACATATGGAACAAACAAACAAACAAACAGATCTAAAAATGGTTATTTAAGGCAGGGTACAGGTTATCAAAAAATTAGCCACCCCTCCCCCAAAAATTTGATCTACTACGTCCTTTTTGGTCACCATTGCCATTATGCAACACTATCACAACCAAGTCCCAAGAGAATCTAAAGATAGAAAGTTTGATTGAGAGCAAATCATTAAAGCCTTTTGATCAGTGCAGTTTACTCATAAACCAGATTTAGCATCTATTTAATAGCATCCAAACAGAAGGAGAAGTGTAATAGGGTCCAAGTTTCCTTTCCCACATTGCTTCCTGCTCTGATTGAAGCATCATCACAGCAGCTCCTTCTTCCTGCTAATGTCTTCTTTAGTGAGATTGTTGTGGTGGACAAATTCAGATAAAAGGCTTCTGTGTAAGAGGTGTACAATGGCCTTACTGAGCACAAAAAGTGCAACGACTGTAAAGTCTCATCAAGATAGGAACATCAGCACAGGTGAGAACACATGGGTAGACAAGAGTGAACGCAAAGGTGGGCAGCGCCTTAAAGGTCAGTCCTGCCTCTGCGGTATGCAGCCTTCCATCTCCAACACTTCAGGCCAGCCTTCAAATTTGTTTGTTTCTGCGCTGTTCTTTATATGCTGAGAAAACAAAAATAAGACCCATGTTAAAGGTTAAAGTCCTAAAAGTCTCTCTTGTTAACAGCTAATGACAAAAATAGTAAAATGTTATGATAAGAACAGACAAGGACCAGCAACCAACAAAACTGGTTTGTGGTTAAAGATGACAAACAGGCTGTAGAGTGAATATCTGACTACAAAATATGAATCCCTGAATGACTGATTGTGTGCACTTTGTTCTTTTAGCAGTGATTCCACAAGTAAAATTAACCTAGCTACAAATTATGACCGAGCATAAAAACATATTAGTGTGACTCACACAGTTTGCACTGCTGTAACGTTACAGCAGGGTTTCATTTGGTTGTGTCAGCAAGGAACATTTCAGAAGGTTGTATACAACAGATTCCTCAAGTGAAAACTCAGCATCACGGAGCATACCATAAGTGATTTTAAATGAAAATTCTGAACAAAACATGCTGCAGAACTATGTTAACTGAACCAGGAAAAGAACCACTGGGGACTTAAAGATTTACCATCTTAATTGTACTAAATGTTGATGTATACATAAAATAGGGCAACTACTCTTGTGCCACCATCCACACGAGTTTTAGACTTTGCAGAGCCCTCCAGTGGGCTTGAGTGAACCCTTAGGCAGATAAGTTCTAGTCTGCAGTTCACGTGTTTCACAAAGCTGTTCCTGACTCTACATGTCTACTTAACAATGTATAAGCATATTTGTTGGCATTATCAGTTTTGCAAATTGCAAACAAATGCCTTCTGCTATATGCTCCTGAAAACAGAGATAAAAATGAATCTTCCCCTTGAAGCTTTTTTGTGATTTTCTTATGAAGACTGCTTTTTAGCAGGTAACTGTTAAAATGAGAATGATTCCAAATGTCATATCACCTTGTACGAGGATTTTGTCTCAAGGCAACAAGTGTCCCACTTAATCCTGCTTTGTTAGCAAAGTGTTGCCAACTTTTACACTTTCAAGAAGACAACACAGCTCAAGTTGACAGCAAGTTGTTACATTACTGTAAGCCCAATAAAAACTGCTCAGTAAGTGTTAATCGACCTGAAGCCACAGCCGTCTGAAGTTAGCCCCAGATATCTGCAGCCAACCAGAGTGACGCCAAAGGGGAAAAGGGCCATAAAGTGTAGCGGTGTGCACGCACAAATGTCCACTAAGATCAAAGAAAACAACCACAGGATGTAATCTCCCAAGAGATTTTGACATTTCAACAGAATCATTTTCTCAAGATTGTCTTAGTAGCCTAATAGGAATAAAGTGTCAAGCTGTTTCATCCTCATATTTTGCTCTATGGCTCTGTGGTGTATGGATTTTTCATCTGATGTGCAAATGATCCCTGGTTCAAGGCTGGGAGGGGACACAATCTAAGCCCCATGGGTCACAAGCCCCGAGTTCCCGTCCCAAGACTGGAGTTTGTTTCCAGAAGTGTCTTTTTCATAGACAGGTAAGGTTTGCTGTTACTAAGTAACGCGTTACTGTAATTAAATTACTTTTCCACTGAAAAAGTAGAGTAACTAATTACTGTTCATTTTTAGGTATTTTAATTACAGTTACTTACAATGTACTTGTGTTACATTGTAAAATAATTAAACTCGCTGAATATCATTGTTTAATTTCAATAATTTATCTTCTAAACGTAGAAGTAAACTCTGCCGCTTTAACATGGCTGTAGTGCAGCTGCGCGTCATTTCGCGCCAGTTTGCTGCACAGTCGTATTCTAAAACGGAAGATGTCGGACTCGGCTGAAGCCTGTGGCTGTTTTATGAAATAGACACATTCCCACGAGTAATCTACTGAAGCGCCTGACACGAGAGCATAGACAAACACTTCTGAGTGATCATTGTCCATCATCCATGGATAACACCGCGGCAACTCCTGCTAAGCAGGCAACTCCTGCTAAGCAGGCAACTCCTGCTAAGCAGGCAAAACCTGATTTTACTTCAGCAGCACAGAAAGCGTCTGAAGGTGAGCTTAAAAAAATGATTGTGGGCTACATTGTGGAAGAGATGCTACCGCTGCATACTGTAGAGTCTCTGTCTTTAAAAAAAATTATTTATTATTTAAAGAGTTTAATTTCTATTGTTTGCCCACTCAAGGTTTATAGGGATTTTAAGAAGTATTTAGTTAAATTACTTATTTAGTAATTAAGTTACTTTTCTGACACAGTAATTAGATAAGTATTTTAAATACAATATTGACTAAGTAATTAGTAATTAATTACTTTTTTAAAGTAACTTACCCAACACTGGTGGTGATACACTAGCAAACAAAGGAGCTGCTGAAAGTACCTTCTCATTTTGTTCTTTGTCTAATGTGCTGTAGCTTTGCTGGCAGTTTACATTTAAAGAGTATAAAGAGTAGGGCTGCAATAATTGATCTTTTATTAATCAGGAATTCTACTGATTATTCCATCGATTAGTTGAGTAGTAGGATAATTAGTACTTTTGTCTTAATAATGAGCAATAATAAATATTCAAAAGAGAAAAACAGATGTTTTAAAATAAACTGCTCACACAAACACAAATCCATTTCCTAATGAGGGCTTGGGTCAGCATTCACTCAGTTTAAACATCACTCTTGTGGCTAGCTTAGCGTTAGTATGCTATCTGTACAGGTGCGCACAAAGAGCTGAAGTGCTCACAGCATAATCCAGTTGTTTTTTTGTCCTGGATGTAGTTTGCACTTCACCATTGTGCTCTCACCCTTTTTAAATAAAAGTAATACTTATATCCACGCTGTAGACTGCGTCACTATGTTCCCTCTCTGACTCACAAACGGAAATTAGCGGATTGTAGTCAAGTGTAAGTGGAACCAATACGCAGAATCAATAGGCAAGCAGATTAACAATTTTAGATATCTGGATCTCGATTTCAATTCCTACATACAATCTAAACTAAGGCATAAAACAAAATTGTTACTTCTTGTTGTGCTTTCTGACACTAGTGTGAGGAAAAAAAGGGTTCTGATGTTGGATTTCCTGATGAATGTGTTTTTGTGTGTCTGTATGCTTAAGTGTGCTAGTGAAGGAGTAGGTGTAAGCCTTTAAAGCAAGAGAAATGGAGAAAAGCAAGTGTATCAGCATTCTTTGGTCAGAGGGCCCGGTGGCGCCAGTGTCCGGCAGCCTCGCCTCTGTCAGTGCGCCCCAGGGCAGCTGTGGCTACAATGTAGCTTGCCTCACCAGTGTGTGAATGGGTTGCCTGAATATAGTGTGAAGCGCTTTGGGGTCCTTAGGGACTAGTAAAGCGCTATACAAATGCAGGCCATTTACCATTTACTTTGTGGTTTGCCTTGTGGTTTGATCTGAATGTTTGAAGAAAACACACATTAAGATGGTGTAGATGTTAATAAGGTCACTAATAATCTAGTTTCCAGCTTTTGTTAAATATGGGATTTTGTGCATCATCTTACCTGCTCAAATGGACTCTTGGTCTTGATGCCTTTCCCTCCCACAAAGATCCAGTTATCTCGAAAGCCCAGATTATTAATAGCTGAGCTGCCAAGATCAGCAATTAACTTCCTGGCTTCATCATTAAGTCTATATAACAAAGAAGACATAATATTTCATGACCATCCCAGCAACTAGAAACAGCAACCATATTTATTGCTCACGCGAGTTGAAATGCTCTTACTTTGTTGCGGAATCATCAAATGAGGCCATCATCACAACGGTCCCATCTTCAATTTCATTCAGGAATTTAATCAAGGGAGCCACGTCTATGCAAAGTGACACACGGTTAACAAACTGTATGAACTGGATTTGTAAATGTCTACAAAAAAAAAAAAAAAAAAAAAAAATGGTTCTCAAGTATACTCACCTCCAGCCCACATATCAAAATATTCTGTTTTGACAACTTCCCCTGTCCTCCCTATTGGAAAAAAATAAACAAACAAAAATACAGTTTTTCAGAATTAGGTTTGTAACTCTCGGAATTTAAAGTGGGGTACTCGAGTGGAAAACGTCACCATTAACCAGGGCGATGTTGATTCCTCTTCCCACGTTGTTCTTCACGCCGCTCATTACTCTACAACCAAAAATATGAAAGGGGGAGAACATATGGATACATTTAAATATAAAAGCATATAAACTTAAGGAAATGAGTGATTTATAGAAGGATGGCACTTCATAACATGTTTAACATACTATAATGTAGATTTCCAGACAGCCCAGAATAATCAGACAACACTTTCTTTCTTATAACACACTGTCTCACATCCTACTTACACTTTGTCCTCCAGGCAGATTCTGGGCCCGACCACACTGGCTGCACCACTTGCCATCTTGAAGGCAAAATGTCCAGCTGAACATGCCTTGGACAGCCCACATTTATGCCTGACAGGCTTCGTTGCTGAGAACACAAAATTTGCCCAAACAACACAGTATCAGGTCACAGGCAGTCCAATTACATTGTTTAAGGCTTTTCACAAACAGGCACAAATATGGGTGATCAAGGAATGGTACAGCTTGAACTCATCTAAAGGGGGTCTATTTGCACACTAATGCAATAGCTAAGCGTAAAACACACAGTTAAACTCAATATCTAGATGTTTTCAAAAGGATTTAGCTACATTACAATATGAGACAAGCTGCTGATTACCATTTTTGTTCTGTCTGTTACAGAGATAGATAAAAAAAGACAGAGGCATATCAAAACACATGAGTAATAGAGAATAAAAAGAAAAAAGTAAACACTTGAGAACACTTACAAAGGACACCTGCTGGCACAGATCTTGCTGAAAAGCAAAAAAGGAGATGTAGATGTAAGTAGACTTCATAATATCTAATATGTTTATTATTAGGATTATAAATAAGATTTATATTATATTTTTGTAAATGTTTATCCAAGTAGCAACAATTAATACAGATAAGTAATAAGTGTGCAACATTTCTTTATGTCAAGATAAACTAGAGGCATAAAAAAAATTACAACCATCAGTTATAGGAGTGCAGAGGATACTTTCAATGTGGAGGAATAGCGGCTCTACTCTGAGCTCCTCCTGGACGGCCAAACTCGTCACCCCATCTCTAAGGGAGAGGCCAGCCACCCATCGGAGAAAGCTCATTTCTGCTGCTTGTATTCACAAGCTTGTTCATTTGGTTACTACCCAAAGCTCATGAACTTAAGTGAGGGTAGGGACGTAGATCGGCTATTAAATCGAGAGTTTCGCGTATACGCTCAGCTCTCTCTTCACCGCAACAGACCGGTACAGCACCAGTCTGTCTATTGATCTCCCGCTCTCCTCTCACTTGTAAACAAGGGCACTCCACCCTTTTCCGGCTCAGGACCATGGCCTCAGATTTTCCACCTAGAAATTCTGTCCATAAAAATCATGAACAGAATCTGTGACTTAGGGGAGCCCTGGCAGCCACCGGGAACAAGTCCAACTTTTTGCTGGCTTAGTGGACCAAGCTCTTGTAGCGGTTGTATACGGATCAAATGGCCCGTAGCAATGGGCCAGACAACCCATGCTCCCAAAACATCTCTCACAGGATACTCCAAGAAACATGGTCGAATCCCTTCTCCAAGTCAACAAAACATATGCAGACTTGTTTGGCAAACTCCCACGCACACCCTTAAGTAACATCGAGAGGGTAAAAAGCTGCATTTTTTTTTAACAAATTCTCCACTTTCACAACTCTAAGTTCACAAAAGAAATGAATGTTTCATCTTCTTCTAAAACTGTGCGAGACAGGCAGATAACCCTCCTGGAGGCAGGAAAGAAGAGAAGGGCGTATGAGATAAAATACTGGCTTGCGGCTCACAACTGACTTTAATCGATTAAAATGAATAATTTATTAATAATATATGTAGTAAACAATACATATACATTGCATTACAGCCCATTATATCGTGAACTGAAACCTGTGACTGACATTTTTTGTCTTTTTCCTGTATATAAATAAAGATTATTTTATATATTTAAAAGCCATAAAGTGCTGACCCAATAAATAAAGAAAAAACCAGGATGCAGGACGTGCCTGACTTAAATGTCCCTGCAGACAGAAAGTACACAAAGTAAATGACTGTCTTGTTTCCTTTGCTGATGATTATCTCCAACCTACACTGCTGTTCAATCCAGTCTTACAGGAAAGCTTACTCACAAATCACATTAGCCAGTTTAAAATCCATATTAATCTCGAATAGCTGAAAAGCCAGGAAGACAGCCAGTAGGAATGCAATGACCAACACTGTCAACTTGATAATTCCTGCGAAGAGAGGGAAAACGGAGAGGTGCGGTTAATCAGCCATCTGAATCACTGATGCAAAATGGTTTTAGATAGCAAACATGTTTGTTTAAATATTTATAGTAAATATATCTGACTTACCATTAGCCCTAATCATCTTTGCGACTCTCCAGAATATTTTACAAACAGCCGACAACCTGTAATATCAAATAAAAGTGTAGGTGTCTGTATGTGTATATCAGTGACTGTTTTCTACAGTCAATGCTGTATATCTGCGTGGCTTTACAGGGTGGTCTAAAGGGGGAAGTTAGCTTGTGCTGTGTGTTATTTATAGGAGTGTCTAACGCCGAAACACAGTGACCTTGCTCCTTTTCTAATATCTAGTTATTGCGACCGAATTAACGAACAATGTAACGTATGTAAGCACGTAATGCATTTTTAAAGCTATATTTTGAAAAGCTAACTAGCTTTTAACCCCGTGGACAACTTCTTCGTCTTTGACAGGTTTTACTCACCGACACCGCATCTCAGCCTCTACAAAAAGACAAATACGTAGTTGAGCTTTGAGATAAATGTTCACGACTTCCTCACCTGTTCACGTAACAAAATACCGGTGGGGTCTCCGGTGTGGTTCTTTTAGGACAAGCTGACTAACTTAAGATGATGGCGCTGATACGCGTCATGACAGCTGGACTGTGGAGGAGGAGCAAACCTTGAAAAAGAGGCGCCACTCCGCCGGAAAAAGGAAAGACGAACCGGAAATAAAGCGCCTGGACAGTACAAGAAGGAGCAGCTTCCGTAATTATTAGTGTAATTATATATAATAATTACGCCCTCTCTCTCTATATATATATATATATATACATATATATATATTTTTTTTTTTTTTTTTTTTTTTTTTTTTTTTTTTTTTTTTTAATGATTCAAATGGGAGTATAACCTACTGGATTTGGAAAGAGTAGGGAAATAACTGAATATGGGCTATTTCAAACAACAATATAAGAAACAAAAACTATACATGTACCTCAAAAATATCTACAGGAGAAATAGGAAGAAATCCAGCAAAGACCTGACAAATGGTCTAAGAGAGGAATCATCAGAAATGTGCAAAAGTAAATAGTTAGTATGGCCACTTTTACTCTTCACAACATAAACTCTCTTGGCCAATCCAAGACTGTTTGTCTATCATGGTATGCGTTTAGTGCACTGACAGTGTGTTAGCCCATCAGATCATTTCCAATTGCATCATTTCCTATAGCAACTATTGACCAAATGTGCAAAACATGCTTCACTAAAGCCTCAGTGAAAAAGTCTCAGTGAAAGGGGGGTTCTGAAGAAGCCGATATTAAGGAAGGGAAACATGGAGAAAGGGCTGGGGTGTGCCAAATTACACAAGAACTGGACTGAAAATCAGTGGCAAAAGTTCTTATGGAGTCATGCATCTAGTTTTGAAATTTCTTACTCAAATTGTCCGCAATATGTACAGAGGTAGTCAACAGAATGAATCTTGAGACATCTGTTTGAGGCTCTGTTTGGGGTTGCATTTCAGCCAGTAGTCCTGGAGAGCTTGTACCATCAGAGATTAGTCCACCAGCAAAAACATGCTGTCAGTGATTGGCCAAGAGGGTTTATGTTCTGAAGAATAAAAGTGGTCACACTAACTACTGACTTTTAAGTTTGTTAGAAACTGTTTACCGTCCCATGTCTCTTTGTAGTTTTTTTTCAGTAGTGAGTCATCTGTCAAAACAAAATCTTTACCATGTCACACCAACTTCCTGTTGCATCTTCTTCTTCAGTCATTTTAAAATGACATGGGAGCGATAAAAGCGTCAACACCGCCATCAAATGGACAGGTTTTAAGCAGAAATTTATTGGAGTATAATTTAACCTGTAACATTTTGATGAAGACTCTATAATATGCAGAATTTGTTTCATTTTAAATGCACATTCTGTTTTGGATTTTATTTTTATGTTGTACAGAAGTACAATGTGTTAAACATGTAAATCAAGAAAACATACATATGTACAAAGAGCGAAAACAGCAAAGTCAGCTCAATAAATTAAGACATTCAAACATTTGAGGAGCTTCAATAAAAAAAGAAAATCAAGGCAACATGCAGTCCATTTCAGTGCAGCTGGTGTCAATCATGTCTGCTGTGTCATTCAATGAGATCCTAGAAAAAAGAGAACACAAAATGTATGTGTGAGAAAAATTACACCATCTGGAAAACATTATAAAACAGTGCTAAATAACATCTCGATGCATGCTCAATCATGCTGGTAAGGAAATCCCAAAAAGTTGATTCTGTTCATCCGGATGCAGCGTTTTCAGTAGGAGAAACGTTTTGTCACTTATCCAAGTGACTTCCTCCTACAGTCTGAAGAAGAGACGAAGAGATCAATCAACCTTTTGGGAGTGCTAAATAACACTTACATAATCTGAGTCCTGTTGGCAGGCTGTGCTATTGCTGCTCGTGCCACTTTCATGATCAGCTGCAGTGGAGTTTTCGTCGTCCTGGAGTCGAAGGTTGGAGAAACGATATATCGGTGTCCTGTAGCAGACAGCAGGAGACCACCACGGTCAGAGCTTTCAGGGTGCTTAAATTTGAACATGCAGCAGATACCGTATGCGTGACTCACCTGTTTCTATAAATCACTCTCTTGACAACAATCACAGCAGAAACAATAGCTATGAGGACGATGATGACTGCTCCTGCACACACCAGGATCAACACCAGCTTTTCTCGCTGGAAAATACACGAAAAGGTTGATATTTATCCAAACAAAGACAATTTTATAAAATGAAGCAAAGACTGAAAAAGCACAATCAACCTACTGACCGGTGTATCAAAGTGTGTGACTGAAGATGTGGACTTTACAGGAGGAGCAGGACTAGGTTTAATACCACAGGCTTTGACTGTCTGCTTTATGAGCTGAGGACTGAACCCACCCTCACACCTATCACTCGGGACCTTGCGGTATCTACAAAGGCAAAAGGGAATAGAGTGAGATTTGCATGTGCGCATAAAGGTGGTGTTTCTCCTTGCTTTATGAAGGCAATTACCCTTCTGTCAGAAGCTCATCCTCCTCTCCATTCAAACAGAGCTCATAGGTTTTATTTGCAGCGCTTGGCTGTCTCACACACTCTGAGGTGTTAATGTGTCGATAGTAACCAAAGTCGCTGTAGTAAAGGAGAAAAAAGAGTTTTAGTGCAACCACAAAATGCTTTTCTCTTCTTAAACTCTATATTTTGCAAGAAAACGGGTGCAGCAAATTATTAAAAAATGTGCAAAGACACATGAAAATGCAGTACATAAGGAAAAGAAACACAGTAATGCTGGGTCTTTGGGTAAGAATGCAATTAAAATGTTTTAATTTTGTTTTAATTTTGTTGTCTGTTATGTGCAGACACAGCATCCCTTGAGTTAGCTGCCTTTTTTGTGCTTGAGTGATTCACACGTTTTCCAGACAGAGCAGCATTATGCTTTACACACTATAAGAACACTGGGCTCTCTGGGTCACTTGCTGCAAAAAGAAGTTCATGATTGTCTGCTTTCTCATCCTTGGCAAGGAAAGCACTCAGGTCACACTTGCCATTGCTACACTCTCATTTAAAAGCCACAGCCATTAACTAGATGCCAAAAGCCGAACAATGCCGCCTTTCTTCATTAAAAAGGAAAACAAGCAAACAAACAGAAAAAGTAAATGGAAAATAAAAAGCTGATCTTGAACTTCTGAGATGTAAGCAAAGGCCTCAGAATTTCGAATCATTGTACAGCTAAGATAAAGTAATATATTATTATTTATTGTGCAAAAGTCTTGACTAAGCTCTTGTTTATTTTTATTTTTTTTACGAAAATGGGAAATAGAATTTGTACACTCTGGCGAGGTTGAAAGTCAGTATTTAGTAAGACCAGTGAAGGACTAACGGCGTTACTTTTTTCAGTAACGAGTAATCTAGCTAATTACTATTTCTATCGTTACAACGTTGTTACTGTTACTAACAAGAAAATGTGATGCGGTCGCGTTACTATTTTTCAACAAACAGATGGCTGAAGCTGTGTTCAGCTTACTGCACCTTATATCAGTTGCATTGAAGAAGCTGACTATGCGCTACAGCTTTCAGCAGCTGCACTCGGCAATCACTTTCTGGCAGACAATCACTTTTTGGCACAACACCTGTAGCTAAGGGGGCAAAACAATCGCATGAGTGCTGTTGTTTGACTGAAGAAGAATAAAGTAGTCGTGGTGAGCCAATCACATGACCAATTTAAGATGACAAAGCAACAAGGTGATATATACCAGTTTTTAAATTGTGTTTATAGGCCACGTAAGACCAGAGTCATGATAAACAATATATACTCGGTGTTTTTTCCTGAATAATTTTGTCACGTTTACTGTCTAAGGACAGCGCTAGCAAGCACTCTCTGCTTATGACCAAAAAATAAAAAAACAAAACAAAAAACAACAACAGCAAAAACCAGCCCGTTCATGTTGGTGGAAAAATGCACCATGTCGACCAATCAAAAAATGATATGGACAACATGACATTTGGTTGTTTAGGAAGATGGGATAGTTTTAGGAGTGACGGCGAGAGAGAGAGACAGTAGAAAAAGAGAGAGCGCGGGTTTTGAGATTTGTGACGTTTAGCATGTTTGGAGTGTGTAGTTAATGTGTTGTCTTGTGTAGTTAGTGTGTAGTGTTGTGGGTAGTTTTGTGTTGTGTGTCAGAACAATGAGGTGACTGCTGTCTCCAGGTAAAAAAAAAACAGGAGCAGTGATACACCTGCTGCTGTCAGACCTGCAGGTACAGGTGCTATGATGTTCTCCTTTATAGTGGACAGGAATTATTTTTCTGGAGTGGCACAAATAATTTGTGTGGCATCTTATTGAACGCAGAACAGCTGATTGTTCTGTAAATAGTTTGAAATGCTTATGCTTTTTTTAAAAAGGTAAAAGGTAAAATTGACAATTTATATTTGCATTTAAAGTTATGAAATATGATTAATTAAACATGTTTGTGATTGTTACAGTAAAAAAATATATATAACTTTTTCTACTCGGATTTTATGTTTTACTTTTCAAGTAATTAATTACTTTTAATATTTTGCAACTCAGTTACTAACTCCGTTACTTTTTTGAAGAAGTAACAAGTAACTATAATTAATTACTTTTTCAAAGTAACTTGCCCAACACTGAGTAAAACCATCTATAGTCTTCAACAGAGCCTGTACTCTCTTCAGCAAGCCTTCTTCTAATTCCTTTAAGTCGTTTTCAGGAATAAATCTCCAGGCTCCTTGAAAGACATTCAAAGCTCTTTGGATGTTTCTGCCTTTTGTTCCATTCTCCTTTAGGATTATCCTACACTGCTCCAATAATACTGATGTCTGGGCTCTGGGAAGACCAATCCATGACTGATAGTGTTCCATTGCGTGTTCTTCCATCCTGGTATGCTTTTACTGCATTCACTGTGTGCTTTGGATCACTGACATGGTGAAAATTTAAGCCACTGGCAATCAAATACTTTCCTCGCCCTAAACCATGACAGAGCATCCACTGTGCTTTACAGATGGCTTTAGACAATTACTGTTGTACCTTTCCTGATCTCATACATACATACCGATGACATCTTGAACCAGTAATTTCAAATTAGGACTCATCACTCCATAAGACCTGGTACCACTGATTTTCAGTTCAGATCTTGTGTAACTTAGCGTACCTCAGCCACACTTCCACTGAGCCCATTTCTGGCCACGCCAAACAGTGAGTCTGTTTTTAAATACTCAGTCCCAGAGTCCAATATAATGTACCTGAGAGATACTTCTTAAGAACATGATGTTCATATACTGTCCATCTATCTTCCATGACTTCTTTTGAAACCTGCCCACTTTCATCACATCATTAAGTGGCTTAACAAATGGTCAGATGGTGACTGGAAATGAGTGGAAAAGTGGCCAGTGTTCAAAGAAAAACTTTAGAAGACCTTCAGAAAGCGTGGGGAAGTATTGCTCAAGGTCATTAAAAACAAAGAGGAAAAAAAGAAAAGAGTCTGGCTCACTGGAAGCAAAATATAATGAAATGAAAGGTTTTTACAATAATATGTAATACGTTACAGGACCATTAAAAAAACAAAACAATCCAACATACCACAAGAAATCTTCTCTGGTGCACAGACAAGGGCTTTGCTTTTTCATCACCACAAAGCTTCGCCCATTTCGGCATAGAGATTGCTTCTTTAACCTCCTGTAGGTCTCCTTAACACCCAGGACACATCCATTTCTTTCTGAGTGCCCTCCTTCTGTTGAATGAGCCAACCACTCTTCATAGTCGTTGTCATTACCTGATGAAGGCAGTGATGACCTATTTAACTGTCACTAACAATCCTTTTAAAAAAAATGCAGGTTTAACAAAACCAAACCTAGAATGTAAATAAAGCAGTTTTAGGCAATGCTAGTCAAACTAGTGACACATAAGTTTGTCCCAACACTTACTTCACTTACATAAGATTACTAATGCAAGTGCAAAACGGCATCTGCAATACAACTAAGCAAAATGCCACAGGGGAAATATTGAAAGTCCCGGAAAAGTATCTTTTCTTTTCAACACCAGATAAAAGGGTGTGGTTTAATTACAGCATCTCACACAAATTGTAGAGGAGAAAACAAAACAAAATGCAAACAGGTGTGTTTTCTTCTTCAAATCTGCGTCATAAACAGAGGTAAAACAAGAGGGATGTGTTTTTACAGGTTTTTAGAGGTTGTGGAAAATCCCTGCTTCTGCAGCCGGAAAACAGCTACTACAAGGCACCAACTCACATGAACCTACCACCAGGTGGCAACATGCCATAAAAACCAGTGAAGAGCAAAGAGTGCACAGTAGTCGTAGACGTTATTAGACTTACATTCTCTGGTAATGAGACTCTGGAAATCAATGGTGACTGCTACCCACATGGGCTGGCCGTCTTCCTCGGGCCGGAAGCCCCACACACTGACGGTCATGGCGTTGGTCCCCGGCTCAGACGCCAGGCCTGCAAAGAAGAAGGGCTGATCCGTGAAGTTATACAGCTTCCAGCACTGACCCTCATCCGTGGAGAATCTGGTGGTGAAAAACAGTAGAAAAAGAGAAAACTTTAAATCTAAGAAAACACTTCCTGTCACTTCCCCGTGGTCTTTAAATGAGAATAAAGTACTTGATAGTCTTGACTTGTCCTTCACGATGGGCCTCCACAGCCACAATTAGACCCCCAGAGTCCAATATAGTGTAGTGATGAGGACCCCTCAGCGTCCCCCTCCAGTTATAACCTCCATCTGAGGAAACAAACACGTCGGGGTGCTGCGATGACGACAGAGAATCACCCACGCTGCCTGTTAAAAAGAGGAAATCATCTATAAGTGTGCATTTTACACAGTATTTGATGCAATGGTTTGGACTGAAGCACTGAAAGTAATTACAAATTAATTACCATGCGCAATAACTAGACCAACAGCAGCCGGCTCAGACAGGGTCACCATGGGAACTATATGGTTATTACGACTGTGTTCCCCATGTATATGGAGATTGCACTGGCAAAAGAAAAAAAAAGATCAAAATGAAAACACATACATACAGACAGATAAATAAAAAATTTTTCTATGTAACATACACTCTTGATCTTGTCTCCACAATTTATGTTCTCTGGTTTTTTAAGCGGTCTCCACGTCCCTCCTCTGTTGAATGAAATGACAGATTTTATACGGCCATCTGAAAGAAAAACAAAGTATTCTGGTCAATCAGGATTTTAGATATAATTGTCATTATGCAACTCATGGCTGTTTACTGAAAAATCAAATGATTTGCTTTTAGGCTACTCTAAAAAAAACAAAAGAAAAGACGGAGCTTCTGTTCCTATGGGATGATTTTAGAAGTCTCACAGCCTGGCTTTTGTGCTCTGCTCAACAATGCTGAGGCCATGCATGTGCCATGACAACCTGTCTGTAAAGTTTAATAAGTTTTCCTACTAATTTTTTTTTCTTTCTTTTGTAACTTTTATGAGCAGGGTGGAGTCCACCTGCTCCGGGTGTTACAAAGTCTTTGTCTTTGTTTTTTCTTCACGTCAGCAATCAGCTCCTTAGTTTCGTTAATGTTGGGTAATATTTTGTTCTCTCAGCACCGCACTGCAGTATTGCAGATGACAGTCGTGTTCTCTTCTGTCAGACAATGATGTTATTGGATGAGCACTAAATTGAAAGCGGCATTACAGCGTGTCCAATCTCCTCAATTAAAACACTTATAACTCATAAAGTGTCACAAACAGACAACTGGGGGCTACATTTTGGGGGTTGGAATCAAAAGCTTAAAGCCATTTTTTACAGGAGTTATGTACGAAAGGCTACAAGACAGAAGATGCATACAATACCTGTATGGAGAATCTTACCAACGTCTAGCTTATTAGTGAGGTACACTCCTCTCAGTGAAGTAATGTTGGTGAAGTCACTCTTTCGATGTCCATCAAACAGGTGGCGCTCTAGAGATTTGGAGAACAAGATCCCACGGTCGTCTGAGGTGTACATGGTCCCAAAGAAGGTGTCTGAAATAAAACGGAAAGGGGAGAAAAGCACGAATGTATCTCACAAAATTACAACACATTTTAACCTCTCCTATGTAAAGAGTTGAATTTTTGCAAAAGTCTCAAGCCACTACTCATGTCTTTATATTTTGCTAGAAAAATAGTAAATCAGTGCAGTTAGTTATTGTATATGCAAAAAAAGACCCCCCAAAAAACAAGTTCTAGCACATTTGAAAGCCAATACTGCAATAATGTTGTTGTCTGGACTCTGAGGAGGTTAAACCAAGGCTGATAGTGTTAAAAGCATTGATTAATACCTTCAGTTAGGTGCTATTCTTGTGCCTGAATGATTCATAGGCCAGTGTTAAGTGACTTAACAAAATAAATAATAATAATAATAAAACATTTATCCATCACCTGAGGGAGGTGATGGGGACATGTTAAGCTTTTGAATGTGTGTTCTGGTGTGTGCATGTGTATTTGTGTTACACCCCGATGCCAAGATATGCTTATCAGCTTTTGCAGTGAAACCTAAGTCTTCTGCGTTTCAGCCAGCAAAAGACAAAGTCACCCCACACCACCCATCCACCACTGTCTCAAGCAGGTGTGAGCCAAAAATTGTATTATACTGAAAAGAGAATAAAATTGCAATGGAATGAGGAAGGAAAAGAAAGGGCACGAGTTGGAGAGGGAGATATAAACAGAGAAAGAAAGGAACAAAGCCATGAGATCAACTTGCATGGACAAACACACACTCAGTGTTATGGACTGATTTGTCAGCAAGTCCAAGAACTTGTTGAACCAGTCTTGCCTTTACAGTTGAAGTTTTCCATTTCAACAGAAAACAAAAACTGATATGCTGTGAGGACACATTTGCAAATATGTGTCAGTCATAGGGTTAATTTTTATAGTTGTGGCTTTTTGAATGGAAAACATTTCCAAAGATATTAAAAGGTCCCATTTGCGGGTTTATGTATCTGCCTGATACCTCCTGGGTTGTCCACGTGCAGGAAGAGCATATCCTCATCTCCATCCAGGATGGAATAAAACTGCAAACAGAGACACATATGAAAGTCGAGAGCAGACGTGGATGAAAAAACACACACACACAAAAGAGATGACTCGTTCAATTTTTTGCTATAAATCTTGTCTAATCTTCGTGAGACAGAATGTGTGTTTGTGCTGTCAACAAGATGTGTGGGTGTTTCATCAGAGCAGGTGTGTGTTCAGCTGGCGTTGAAAGGGAAAATGTTGCCACTGATGTTTTTTCTGCATATCAACCAACTTCCTTAGCATCCAAGCAAACAGAAGTATCTGCATTTATCTTTAATGTTCCCCACCCATAAACCTGACACAAAGACAAATGGAGCGGTGCAATAAACATCTCAATTATCATTTAAAGAAAATTTCTTATAAGTGAAAACTAAATTCAATTTAAAGCTACTGTGTTGTGCTGGGAGGGAAAGGGTAGAACCACATCTTGCTTATTAATAACTTACTAAGAACTAAAAGCAGTAATAATACTATATCTTTGAAGGGTCAGTGATATGTGCTGATAAAAAAAAGCAGACAAATGGCTGTGCACTTTCGTGGAAGGTTACATTTCGGTGTTGACTAGACAATCTGTTTTTAAATACTTAGTGCAGGAGGGGATTAATAATGAGGGCAAAAACGGATGATGTGTGGAGTTCACACATAATCAGCTTTTGCTCTCAGGCAATTCTGATGAATTTACCTACAGTAGATTAATTAGATCTGAAAAAATTCCTGAATCTACCTACAGTAAATTCACCCGAGGGAACACATCATCAGCTTTTGCCCTCTGACAAATGTGATGAATCTACTGGAGATTCATCAGAAAGCGAAAACGTTGCTGTATATTTATCAGATTTGCCTGAGGGCAAAAGCTGATGTTGTGTGGAGTCGAGTGACTCCAAAAATCATCAGCCATACTTTTGATTTCATTTTCAGCCTGTTACTGCACTACCGTGTTGGGTGACCCTTGAGAAACTGCCCTAATTTTGGTAATATATTTTGGTACCAACACCAAAACATTATTAACGTATTAGACTGTTTTCATTAAGAGAGTGCTATACTATGCTTTGCATTACCTCAAAATCTCCCAGTTTGATTAGTTTAAAGTAACTCTTTAGTACTTGAAGGCACTAATAAGCTCTACTACCACTTCCACAGTGTTCACTGTGATTCTAATGAGGTCTCATACTGTTTGTAGCCCCCCAAGAGGTTTTTTTGGCTACATTGTACATAATGCTGCTGTCATCAAAACACTTTATGAGTTCTGTGCCACAGTTGCTTTTTTTAAGTACTCTCAGCCGCCCACGTATTTCCCACCAACAGCAAATGGATCCACATGTGTGGTTTGGCACAGATTCCACTTTTATTCTTCTATTCTATTCCTAGATCTGATCCAGAGTCTGGAATCCAGACTCTGGATCAGATCTAGGAATGCGCTACTTGTGAGGCTGAGCTTGTTTCTTCTCCCAGAACTGAACAAGTTAATTTTACCGTGTGAGGTGAATGTGTTAACCTCTACACTACAGAGGTGCATCTGTATTGTATTTAATATAGACATGAAATTATATACAGAGGGTGGAGTATAGAAATGTTAACAACACTAAAGCCAAGGAAATCTGCACAGGCTCTTGGATTTTACTTCATGCTATGCTGGCCTAAAGAGAGAGACCACTGGGGATCTGCAGAAAGATAAATATTAAACACTTTTGACTCTGAATCAAACAAAGCTGCTCTAGTAGAGCCCAAGATTAAAAATGGAGCTGAATTCTTGTAGAACAGATCCTCTTTTAGTTTGAATGATGAGTAAGCAAGATCTGTCTGTGTACATCCTTGGTCGTCTCGGTCATGGTAATCTTAAGCACTTAAAATAAAGTAAACTTGACTTCTTCTTGTTTGTGAAAACGTTTTGCCGCTCATCCAAAAGACTTCTTTAATTCTAAAAACTGATGAGTTAGATCATTGCCTTGGAGGTTGTCCCAAGAGTTACTGACTAAGGCTGCATGAGGGTAAGAGGGTCACGTGAGGTAAGGAGTGAAGCCACCTCTCCGTCAGTTTTTAGAACTTATAAAGTCTCTTGGATGAGAGAAAAAAATGTCTTCATGAATCAAAAAGACATCCAGCTGCCTTCATTTCAAGCGCTTAAGAAGTAATCAAGATCATACATTTGACTGCCTTGTGCTACAGTTAGATTTTGAATACTACCAAACATAATTGGTTCAATTCCCAGACCTACCTGTAGAATATTAGATGTTGTTGCTAACACACTCAAGAGAAATGATGATTGATATTTTCTCTCACCTGCTCAGTGGATGCAGAAGGCAGGAGTGCTTGACTGAAAGTATCTCCTTGGTCTGATGAGAAATACATCACACGAGGAGATCTCTAGGAGAAAAATAATGCATGACTATATAGATCGAATATATACTACTCGATAGACCGAAGTGTATAAATAATGATCCAGCCATCTTACCGGGTCTTCCATAACGGAGAAGAAGAGAAACGCTCCTATGTAGCCAAAACTGTAGATGTCCTCATGGATTATGGTGAAGGTGTTCCCCAGGTCCTTTGTTCTTTTCAGGATTAAATCTCCCCTCTCCTCTGCCTCAACTGTATCGACGAATGACAATAATAACACGAATAAGTTCAATAAGAAATGTGCACTTGCCTTAAACACATTTAAGCTCATTGCTCATCCGCATAAAGCATGCACCCTCACAAGCAATAAATGTTTTGAGTGAAAAAAAGTACTTATATTTATTTAAAGCTTGTGAAATTAGGCTCTGATGTACACAAGAGTAGTGATTTACACATCTGAAGGACAAGTGAAAGTTTGATCCTGGAAGGAGACGTAGATCCTTTTGAGGTTGTGTCAAGAAGGACTTTCAGTGTAAAAATCCACCAAATCAAAAGCTGTGGAGGGTAAGGCAATAGTGTTTTCTCATGTAGCTGTCTAAGAATAAGCGCTGCTCTACTTATGGATTGTTAAAAGATTTCTTTATTTAACTGTGATAATTGCTTATGTTTAGCGTTATTTGAATTTCGCAGTAATGCCTGTACATAGCGTGTCAGCATTTCTTTAACTGGAAGAAAGTGACCACATGAAGAAGTTGCTCAAGTTTAGACAACACACACTACAAGATCGTTAATCAACTTGTTCATCTTTGTCTTGCAAGGCTGCACCCTGTGCAGCCTCGTATGCAATCACCAGATAAGAAGTTTGAGCAGATGCCTGGCGCGCATTCCTGCACGACTCTGTAGTTGACAGATCGTGCTCAGGAATCGCCCATGTACATGAATTAACTCTGGGCCCGTGATTCTTTATTTTCCTGAGGTTTTCTCCTAACATGGATTTAGTCATCTTAGCAATTATAAATCAAACTTAATCTCAATACACTATACTCTACCCCTCAGTTCCTCACACAACTTGGTAATTTATTTACTTGTTTTGCAATGTGCTTATAGCATGTCAGTTTTGATCTACTTCAGTTGCTTTATTGTTTTATTGTACTTGAATAGCTTTTATGCCGCCCCGTAATCAAAGGATTTTTCCTGTGAGATATTAAAGATTTTAACTTGGCTGCAAAAGCCATAAAGATGCAGATTAGATTAAACATTAAAAGCAGAATTCTTATGACTATGCAAACCCTGTTACACACAAAATAAAACCATATATACACACTAGAATACAGACAAGCCTGTATTACAAAGTGTTTGATCTTTAAATTGCACCAGTTTTACAAAACCCTTTAACGGCTTTACAGGTTCTTACCTGCATCTACTTGACTGCAGCTGAAGAACAAATTTATGCCAGCTCCCCTGATGGAAAGAGGAAGGAAAAAAATTACAAACACCTCAAAATGTCACAATTTTAATAGGTCCTGTTTCTTTTTAAGCAAGCATTTATTGCTTCAGAAAAACCTTGCTCGTATCATCTCAGTTTATTCAAAGTCCCACATGTTACGCATGTCATTATGCATTTTCCAGTTACTATATTTGTGCCACAGAGCTATCACTGTTTGATAGAATGAATAACTCTTTTTCCTTCTTTATTCTCACCATGAGAAAGAATGCACTCCATCGTGAACTTTTGTCCACCAGGCCCCAAAGTCCAGAGAAAGCCAAAGACCGCCCTGAAAGTCAGGAAACAGAGCAATGTTTACACATTAAGGAGTGTTCCTGGTGTGTGTTTGTGTGGATGATAAACATGTGTGTCTGTGTGATAGCCAGGAATATTAAACAAAGCAACGGAAACCACTAAGGGACTTTAAAAGTTCAACAGACTCACATCAATGCTGAGGGCCACAAGATAGTCAGGGTTGGAGAAGTGGTACACGATTGGCTGCGCCAGGTGAAAGGGCAGTTGGATGAACTTGAAGGTTGCACCAGCATCAGTGGAGGTGAAGATAATCCCACCTGGATTGTTAAGCACCGGTGTGTCGGCTGTTAAAATCACCTGTCAGTGAAAATCAATGGAAAACAGCTCAGAGATGGAAATTTGAGAAAGAATTTTAGCTTCATCAATAACTTTTGGGAGTTTCGTGCAGAATTGTCTGCTTAAAATTCAGTGCATGCAAGCTCTGTACTTGTGATTTCATGAACTTGAAAGAAAAAAGAAAGAAAGAAGAAAACCATCCACTTTCTCAGCTAAAGATTCTGCTTGCATAGCTCCGTGCAATATAATCAGTCTGTGGACAAAACTGTAAGAACACTAGTAGGTAAGACTCAAGCTGATTAGATGTCAGCATACAAGATATTTTCACACCTTCATGTCAAAACATCACAAGGTCCACAGCCAAACGTGCAATGCAGTTTACCATCACTAACTGCTCTTTCATTGCACACCCACAGAAAAGTGTTAGTAAGAGTGTAAAATAGTGCTACTTACAGAGATCCCAGGTCCAACACTGACTCCAAATTCCTCCTTAATAAAGGTGTGGTTGATGCTCTGAGAAATGTCATGAAAAGATTTGCCATAATCCGTGCTGATGAGAGAGGAAAGATGGTTACGTTTTGATTGAGGTGCCCACGGTAGCTGCTGATCAGATTCTAACTCACCTTCTGTAAAGTCGTGAGGAGCCTCCTTCATTTAAAGGATGAACTGGACCACTGATTGTTGACAGCACCAAGACCACCTATCAAATGAAGAAATATAGTTACAACTTTAAACACTGGGTTAAAAAGTCACAGTTAGATTAAGATCCAATCTTATAGCACACTTTAATTTGGCTTTTATTTTAAACCAGCATGTTGTCTGAAATGTCTCTTACTGCGCAAAAACCTGGTCAAATCTGTGCTTTCATTCTATAAACAAATCCTTAAAGTACAAGATGGAAAGTTCAGAGATTGTGACCACTGTAAGAGCTAATGAAATGTATGTTTTTCTTATATTTTCCCTAACACTTCATTACTATATTCCAGTTGTCACTGACAGAACTAGTAAGATAAGGATAAAACCAGGGGTATTGTGAAATTACATACCCATGGATATTAAAGAATGAGGAGAATTTGCTGTGTTTAAAATCAGCCTCAATTATATTTAATTCATTGTCGTATATTGATGCATATTTGTGTGTTGTGGCACTTTTTTTCCTTTACAAACTCTACCTTGAATTCTTTTGTGCCCCTGTGACATGTAAGAGGCTATATGCAATAAACGTTCTGTATAAGAAGCTACTCACCCCTGTATCATCACCAACCCATGTGAGAATTACATAGGAACCATCATCACCATTAAAACCTGTCTAAAGAGAGAGGAGAAAAACTCACACATCACAAAAACAGGCCTAACAAGCTAAATTAGATCTCTTCTCACAATTTCCTGTAATTTTCCCAATAATACTGTTTGCCAAATGAGTATACGGGCTTACATTACTATACGTGTTTATATTACTTTCACTTGGTTGAGAAACCCTGTTAAGCATTGCAAAACACAAATAAAAACTGGTACCAACTTCAAAGTCCTGGAATCTCTTTCTTTACATTAAATAAAAGGCACGACGGACGTTGCACCTGCCTTGACCAAACTGCAGCTCACCTCGTGTGTGTTATCATCCAGAACCTCGTGTTCGGCGGGGGTGAGGAGGAGCCGACAGGAGGTGAAGGGAGGCCCATGTGAAGGCTTGGAAGTGCCTGGGGAGCTGCTGGCATCCCTCCTGGGGCGACGGCGCATTTGGCCCTGGCTCTCACTATGCTGAGTCCGGCGGAAAGTCAGCGTCTTTCCCTCCTTGATTCTGCATTCAACTCTCATAAGAAGAACGACGGACACCCCCAAAAGCACCAAATGTCTCCAGATCATGTCGACAGTGATGTGACTACAATTTAAAAAAAAAAGAGTCCCACTGACCGATATGCCTGGCAATAATGACTCACTTTTGTTGTACTCTAAAGGTAAGTGGGTGTGGGAAGTGCTTGGACGGGTCATTAACATAAAAAGTGCTGCGCTAAGTGGCACTTCCACCACCAGCAGGTGCTTCTGCCCGCATCCTGGTGACCTAACTGCAGGGAGAAAAAAGAAACAACAGATTAATTCGTGATTCGTTCACTTGTCGTCAATAAATTAACAAATGAATTAGCAACAACAAAAAACAACTGGAATTCACATTTACAGAAGTTAAGGACATTTTAAGGACAGCTTCAAAAGAGAAGTTCTGGCAAGCTTTGAAAGAAATAAGAGACGTTAATGTGACATAAAATCGCAGTAGTATGGGCAGGTTAACGCAAGAGGTCGACATGTAATAGCTTGTGTTGCTTCCAGATGTGTAGAATAGAATAGAATAGAATAATCCTTTAATTGTCCCACAAGGGGAAATTTGGTTCAAACAGCAGCCAGAAAGACACATATACAAACAAACAGTACACAGGACACATAACAGAAACATACACAATTCTTTCTTACATATTTACATGTATAAACATGATAGGCTATGATGGCAAAATACCTCAGGGAATTATGGCTATGATTCATCTAGTTAAGTTGCTACGACGTCATAGTCATGTCCTGAACAAGTCAGATGCGGTGCCACAGAATTACACAGCTGCTTTCACCGTGGGGTGAAAGCAGCTGTAACAGGCTTTCCCTTTGGAATACCTTTTCATTTCCAAGAGACCATGTGAGCTATTATAGGAACTTTCATCTTAACAGATATAGAAAGTGAATTAATACATTGTTTCAATTAGGATTAAAGGTAAAGAAAATTAATTATAATGGTGCTGTATGCATTTAAGGGTAGGAAACCGAAACCACTGAAGTGGTAAAACAAGATATCTAATAATTTGTGAGAACTGAAGTGTGGCACATTAGTTAAAAACACAAAACATAATCTTATGATGAGTCACCTCTAATGACTTGTTTTTAGGTACAACTACAACCCTTATAGTGAAAAAGCACTCGAGATATTGGAAAACTGACAGCAACAAGTATGGGCACCACCAATGGGTGGTCAGTGGGGGGCTCTGGCCACCCACTCAAAATTTGCTTTGTGGGAGAGTGAATCTTAATCTGCTTCTGCCTAGCTCTGCCGAAAATCAAAGCGATGGCTGGACTTCCAGTCAATCAATCAATTAAAACGGATTATTATGGATTTCAAAATCTTCTTCGCTTTTCATATGTGCCTATTTTCAGTGATATCAACTTTAATAGCAGGGAATTAACTAAGCTTATAATTTTTTTCTTTCTCTCATTTTTGCCATTTTCAAGTAACGTATATTTGACAACAGCATAATAAAACTGGAAATTCAGTTTTTGGTGTGCCAACCCAATAACATTAGAGAACCATCCCACTGCTGATATGATGAATGAGCTTCTTAAGACACTTGGCCAGGAACTTATCTCTGCATGGGGACTATTGTAATTCGTTATTATCAGCTCGCTCTAAAAGCTCCCAGCTCAGATTCAGGTGATAGAAACTCTCTACTTTACAATAAGGCTTAATATTTTGTTTAATGTTAAAGCCTATAGTTAAGGCTTGATCAGATGTTCCTGAATGCTGCCTTGATTATTGCTGTAGTAGGTTTGGATTGCTGGGGGCTTCCCAATGATGCACTAAGTGTTTGTACTTCAGTCTTATCTCTTCATTCTATGCATGTTTATACAACACAATATTTAATCATTAGCAATTATTTCACACTGCCTCTCTTTCCTGTAGTGTGTCTTTTGTTCTGTCTCTCTCTGCTCTCTTGTCTTTACCCTCCCCTCACTGGTCATGGAAGATGGATTCCTCTCCCTGAGCCTGCTTTTCCTGAAGATTTCTTCCTGACAGTAGGGATAAAAAAAAATTTCATTCCTACTGGCGCCAAATGCTTGTTGAAATGGAGTTGTGTGATTGCTGGAGTTTCATTCTAATATTGTAGCTTAATGTACCTTACAATATAATGTGACTTTAGGAAAAAGTTGTTATAAATTAGCGCTATGTAAATAAAATTGAATTGAACTGAGTGGCATGTTCCACCTGAAGGAGGTCCCTGGGCAGACGCATGGCATGCTGGAGAGATTATATCTCTCTGTTGGCCTGGGAAGGCCTCAGTTTTCCTCTGAGAGAGGTGTGGGCCTTGCTGCTTAGGCTGCTGCTCTCGTGGCCTGTCCCATGAAAAGTGGAAGAAAATGGTTGAATGAATGAACTGAATTCTATAATAGGTAAAATAATACATGGTTCCAATTAGGTTTAAAGGTAAAGGAAGTGTCTTAAATGTATTATCCCATATCCTATTAGGGCACAGAAGCAGAAACCACAGAAGTGAACTTAAGAGTGTGTAGAAAGACAAAAAACATTTTTGTAATGACTTGTCTCTGATTTGGTTTTATTTGTGCTTGGGTTTGCTTACGTACAAATTCCACAACTGCTACCCTGATTGTCAAAACACTTTAAAAGCCCTTGGGATAATCAAAGACTGAGAGCCAAGTCTTTTGTGCAGTGAAACCATTCAAGCTTCAATGGTTATTTTGTCCACTTGAAAGAACTAGAGATCATAAAGTGGTAAACCACAAAACTCTTATATAATTCACATTAAAATGCCCCCAAAATGCTGTTTCTTTGATGAATATGATTTCCTATTTAGATTTTTTTTTCTGTGACCAGAGGTTTTCTGATTTAGCTCCCAACAGTGATTCACTGTTCACTTTCTATTTTCTGATTTTGTCTCCTGAAAAGCCTGAGATGGTATCTGCGCTTGATAAGAAGAACAAATGTTATTTATAACATTTTACCTTTATTCATGTTGAAATCCTGCACAGAGTCATGCTTTTCAGCTTTTACAGATCATTTCCCAGCTTTGTTGTGCAACACATATTTGATTCACAAAACCTTACTCACTACAAAAAGGCAGACAGATCTTTACACAGTGGAGAGCTTGTTGTGCAATTTTTGCTGGAAGTCTGAAAGTTTTTTGTTTGTTTTTTTTTTCTTTTTTCTTTTCTAGAGAAGTCATGTTTTGTTAAGACCTGTTAGTTTTATGGCAGCCTGCATTTCTCTTTTGGACTCCAAGTTCAGTTGCTGGATCACTACCAAACCGAAACGCACACCTTGTACTCTGACTTCTACATGCTGCAATAAACTTACACACATCAAAAACATTCATCAAAAATCCCCCAATGTTTTCATTCACTTTGCTTAGAAAAATATATACAAAATGTGTACTTTTAACACAAGGAATGTGTTCTGTGTTCAGTAGTGGTTTTACACAATAGCTCCTACAAGACATGACAGCAGACAATGGGCTACAAAAAAGTGCCCAAACAGAAAGAACCATTTGGACCATAAATCCACATAAGTGAACATTCCATGTCCTTCCAGACAGCTGCAGAACATGTCCAAAATGTACAACATGACGATCTTCTCATGAGCCAATGTTTTTAGTCACAGGCCGCCCTCCCCAGTTGTTTGAAGAAATGTCCCTCTCTGTCTGTTGGTTCAGCTCCTGTAAGTAGTGATGGTCCTGCACGTGCATGAGACCACCAACGGAGTCCGCTATTTCATAAAGGACTGCAAGGACGGAAAGTGCTGTTCCAAAGAAATACATTTTCAGGATGGCCGCCACCATGGTTTCTGTGAGGAAGAGCTGCCTGCAAAAGGAGAAGTAAATATTCAGATTTTGATGACAGACAAACATTAATTCTACAGCAGGGTGGCCATATTTTGATTTCCAAAAAAAGAGGACCCTTAGGCCCAGTCATGAAGAACTTTAATAATACTGTTTGCTTAAAGAAAACTTTAACATATTTAAACGAAACCTTCTCTGTGCGGTTAATGAATGGTGAAATAAAAAAAATGTCATATAGGCTTTTATAAGTCCACAAGTGCAAAAAAGGACAGTTGGTCATCCTATTCTACAGCAGATTTAAAAATCAGGTAAAAGATTTGTAAGAAAAGTTGAGGCAAAAAAAACTAAACAAAAACATGCATTGATCTATGCACGTTTGACAGATAGCTTGTCACCAGCCTACAGATTTTTGAAGCCAAGCAGGTAGCTAAATTTTGAAACGGTTCATGTGCATTTTGATCACTGTTTATATCTCGATACGGTTAGCTGACCGCAGTACAAAATTCACCACAAGACATAGTAAACAAGTAAAAGCGTTCTGTTTTAGAAAGAAATGATCTAGGAAGGAAGCTTGAATCACCGGCATACATCAACAGGAAGATAATTCGTGCTGCGTTTGCAAACTTCTGGAAGAATCAACTTTACCCTGAGGAATAATCTAAAGTCCTTACGTCTCTACACATTTTCGACGATGCAGCTGTTACTTTCAATGCGGATGTAATAGTTTCACTTATTCACTGTGCTCAAATTTACTTAAAAGTAGTGAAAAATAAAAAAAAGTAAGGGACGACTCTGAAGGCAACAGTCAGAAGGCGAAAGACACATGGCTTTCAATGCGATAAAACGCAGACATTAAATGCTGCTTGTCGGTACTTTAACCGAAAGGCATTAAGAACTGGGACATGGTTTCTAATGGCACAATAACATACCAGAATATCCACCGATCTCTCGTTTCTCGAAGCTGTGCAGGCTCTGTTTCTCCAGCGGGCACGACACGGCACAGATCAGCAAAGAAACCAGTTAAGTTGTTTGGTTATTTTGTCCGTCTGTTAGTTCATACGGTGTTTCTTCGTGCGAGGTGAGGAACCCTCTTCGTCCAACCCGCTGCTGTACCCGCACGGTCTGACTCCCCCTCTCACTCTCTGCTGTGGTATGATAGACGACGTCACGAAGAGGAGAGTTCTGGGTTTTCCAGGCTGTTGATTAATTTCCGGTTTTAACAGCACTCAAATCACTTTCGGTCTAATTGTTGTGTCGATAGTCAGTTCACGACTGACACATTATCTGATAAGGATATGGGAAATTTGTAAACGATTTCTAGTGAAAAAAAATGACAGTTAAGTGTGTGGACTGTGGTTAATTTCCTTAAATCGAAATTCTTTTTTTTAATGACCAGCAATTGTTAATTATTCTTGACTACATTCAGGTTTTGCAAAAATGTGCCATTTTGGAATCGTGACACTCGGGCTTAGAGACCAGGCAAGCCGGTTGTGAGGGAAAATGAAGATTCCCCAACTAATTTCCAGTAGTTGCTGGGAGAGCGATTGATAAAGCTAGAGTCACGCAGCCCTACTGTCAGTGACACCCTGTCGCTAGAAAAACTGGCAAATGCCTCCTGGTAATTGCCTTGGTCTTTAGCATATTGTTGAGCAAATTAAACTTGTCTACAAAATCTGTCTAGCTGTTCTCCAAGGTGTAGTTTCTGCTCTGCATCACACTTAGTTTGATAAAGATAGTAAGTTTCAAACATGAAAAACTACAGGCAGCCATGCAATCAATAAAATGTTTTTGGTTTTATCATATCTAATATTTGAACATCAGTTGAGCAATGTGTGCATAATGTCAAGTGAGAAACCTTAAAAAGGTTTTAGCTTCCTAGGGAAGCCACCAGCTGCTGGGGGAAAACATGCATTCCCAGAAACATGATTTGTTGGCAGTGGTTCTTGGAGGTTGCTGGCTGTTGCTGGGTAAGTCGGTTGCAAAGAGTATGCAGCACCAAAAACCTCATCATTGCTTTGGCTGCTGCTCTCTTTGTAGCAACTCTCTTTTTTACTCTCTCTTTTGGTTGACTACCTGACAAGCGGTAGTAAAGTTTGGTACAGTGCGTGCCAACTTGCCAACGTTAGGAAATATACATTTTTCCCCAAAAACCAATCGTTGTGGACCAGTGTCTAGGCCTGTGTGACAGGGACCAAATTCACTTGACCCTACAGTTCCACTATGATCATTCAAAATTGCTTACAAGTTCACATCATGTGTTTAGAAGCCACGCAACTGGAAAACCTCTCATTATTACTACACTTCTGTATGGCTCTAAGTACTGGATCCTTCTAAATGAGGGCATGGACAAGCTCGAATCTCACAGATAAGGTGCCTGTGCCAAATCCTGGGTGTCAGTCTGGTCAGCCGACCTGCATCCATCAGTGCTGTTCCACCAAATCAGCCACTCCAACCCTGATTCATCAAAATGAACTAAGGTTATGTTGACAGGTCTACAAAATTGAGGCTGGTTGCTTTGCCAAGAATTTGCTGCTTGAAACCCAACATGCCAGATCCTGCCTTTCTTCATGGCTAAGAAGTGGCAATATCAGATTTTAGCTTTCAGTTTTGCTGCTCTAAAATCTTACAAATGCTTCGTATGCCCTGCACCAGCACCAACAGCTGAAACATGTTCACACATCAGTTGACGAAGTGTGTGAAATGGCAAAAGGTTGAATGCAATGGGAGCAAATTTGCTTTGAACTCCTTCTTGCTGTGGCACGGCAGGACGCTATGTCAAGTATGTTATTGCAATAATGAAATAATGAATGGAGGAATCAGCCACTAGCTCAGTTTCTGTGTCAAATTAGTAAAGGCCTTCATGTGACTCTATTGGCTCAGTTAGTTTTAGGTCATAGTGGATAACACATGTTCGTAAAGCGAGGTAATTTTGTAATTCAGCATCATTATTAAAGGCAGAAAGGAGGACTGACCAAGGTGGGCTAATGACTTGTCAATCAAGTCATTCGCCAGTAAATGATTGGTGTGCTTGGCTTTTGAGTTAGATCCAACCCTGGCTTATCACATGCCAAAACAAGCATTATTTTACAATAAAAACAAAAAGAGGTTAATTTGATCTTTGTTTGACCGAACCTTTAAATACTTACTTTTACAGTAACAATAGAGCACTGTATATATTTTTTAAAAAATGTCATTATTACACATGTTCAGTTACAATATTTTGATACTTTATAAATTGCTCAGATTTTACCATGTGTAAATTTTTTTATGACATGGAACCATTCCTCCCGATTCAGTATCTCTAGGATGCCTTGATCAACGAGCACACAGTGCCACAGCACTATTGTTGATTGTTGGTCGCCGTAGTAGCCGCTCCTGTGTCAGCGCAGAGCAGGCACACTTTGCTCCCCCTCCCCCCTCTCGTGTTTAGATGTTGCGGCGTCACGTGATGTGACTTAGACGCTTTGGGGGTTGTTAAGTTGTTTACATATTATTTATATTTTCACCAGTTGTTGTTTTTGTTGTTGAGAAATTTAATTGTAATTTTTGTATTGTAGTTTCTCAACATTACTTGTTTGTTTTAATGTGTTTACTGGTTTGCGTGCACTTTTTATTTACGATTTTTCTGAAAAAAAAAAAAAGATAATAAAGCACTTTCTCTTTAATTACAAACTTTGTCCTAATTATGTCCTGGGTTTTAACTATTTAATAATAAAAAAAGGAAACATCACAAAAACACTTAAGGTCATGAAAATTAATTGAGATTTAGTGATTCAAATAGCATCCCCCTTATTTATTGAAAAGTATCGGTATCAGTATTAGCGATACTGGACCGTATTTACCAATTCACAGCTTTTATTTTGGTATCGGATCGATACCAAAATATGCTGAATCGCACACCACTACTTTCTAGATCACCTCCTCATTTTTGTCTGTCTATCCAGGGTAACTTGGTCGCTGGGGCCTATCTCAGCTGTCATAGGGAGAGAGCCAGGGTGCTGCCCCAACAGACTGGATTCTAACCAAGGATCTTCTTACTAGGAGGCATCAGTACTACCACCTTTTTCAGTAGAAAGGACTAGATGTTACAGTCCCTGAGAATGCATTGCTTTAGATGGAGAGACTCTTGAGGGATGGCTGTTATGAGGAAAGGCAGCCCAGAAACTTTGCCAGCAGCACACATCGTTGTGTGTCTCAACTTTAGGTCTTTTACCCAGGCTAATCTGCCATTTTCCTTCCTTTGTTAGGTTTAGGGATTAGAGATCTGATCTATATTATCATTTTAAATTTGGGACACATCGTCAGTAGTGGACCTTGGATTCATCGGGTGTTCCGGCCATTATCACTAGACACCCTCATCCAAGGAGGCCCTGCCAGAGTTGATCAGGCCCTGGAGCGTGTCACTGGTTTATGTTAAATTGTTATTTCTCTTCTTCTTTCTTCTGTTTGGTTTCCTACAGTTTATTTTCTATCTATTCACTGCAGCTGAGAAATAATACTAGGGTAACGCATGAACGTGTGTTATCCAACCTGTCCTACTCTTCAGGACTTGGTGTTCTTTGTGCACCAAACTCTAAATACCTTTTGTTCCTTAAAATGGAGAAAACGTTCTTATCGAGAAATTAAACATCCTAGCAAACATCACTGAGAGAGCAGTCTTTTTCTCATTGTGCAGAAGCTAATGAATTTTAACTCTGATTCAGTAATTTCACAAGATTTTCTTTGCATGTCATGGGGGGAAAACACCTCTATTTGATGAAAGTACTTTGAATTCACTGTCTGGTTTTACTTTTTCTTTTTTCTTTCTTTTCTTTTTTTTAGCTCGCTGGATAAAAATGGGTTCCTTATACAAGCAAGTACAAAGATAACTGTCAAAACTATTTAATGAGCTTTACTCTTCAACTTCTTAAGCAATTGTCTCCATTATAGAACAAAACCATTTTTTTAATTTGCCTGTTTGTGTTTCTCAGAGAGCTTTCACCTTGTCAGGACATGCTTGGCTTTTGTTGCTGTAATGCTCAGGTCTCAGTTTGACTGCCAAAATGTTTTCAATATTTATTGAATTATTAGTACATCTGGAACTTTCTTAGCCTGGATAACAGCATTGATAACAGCAGTAAAACCATAACTAACAACTTCTTTCAAAGGGGAAACAATTAAAGCATTTTTAAATAAGCTTGTATCTTAAAAAAAAAAGAAAAAAAGATTTGATTGGTGACTTTATACATGCAAATTTTATATCAAGAAGGAGCACTGAATAAATGGGTATTTATATAATGCAAAATAAGTGCCCAAAAAGTGTCCAGCGGCATTGTTTTGACAAGGACTTCCTTTATGACTACAGTGTACCCAACTTCTAATTGCTCCTTCCAGCCAGACACAAAGCTCAAAACGTGTCAATTTTTTTAACATGACTATGAGTACACTGTAATCATATGGAAGTACAGCCAACAACTGTGACACTATCATATTAATATGGACCAAAATCTTTCCAGCTGAATATACTGTTGTATATGAAGAATTAAGGCAAAAGGCGGTTCAACCCAGTATTAGCAAGATGGACCTAATAAAGTGGCCAGTGAGTGTATATTTGCTTAATAAACATAGCCATTTATACTTGTGGCGTTTTCTAGTCTCTTTCCAAGTATAACAAGATACTACAAGTAGGATTACAATAAAAATGAGTTTGTTAACCTCCCAAAACCAAGTCATCATGTGGCTGTTAACAGTAGTGCTAACTACTGTAACCTAAATGCTAAAGTTATCTGGCTAATGCTGATGTTTGGAAAGCCTAATGTGTACTTTCCAGCATCTTGTAGGATGGTTAAAGAATGGTGTGTTAGCATGCTGACATTTGGCAATTAGCTGACCCTTGAAGTGATTGTGTATGGACTGCACACAAATTCCTTGTACTCTTGTCCAGCATATTCAGACATCCATTTTGACTGGCTCTGTTTTACAAAAGTGAAAGTTGTGTTGTGTCTCAAAAAATTCAGGAATGTAACAAAACCTAAAATGTCCATTTTGTGCTCTTTTATAAAGAAAATCAATCTAGGCCTTTCATACTGACATTTTCTTAGTGTATTAATTATAACATTTTCTTGATGTAGCCTACGGTATACTCAACACTCAACTTTCTTATTGTTATGTGTTTAATTAATTATGTATTTATTTATTTATTTTTTAGGATACTAAACTTCTTCGTAAACAGCAAACATATGTTTTCACTTCTTCATTTAGGGCTCCTAGACGGTGAGGTTTTATGTCTTACATCAACATTTGGAAATGTAAGGGAAATCATTGCTCAATCTATTTACCACACGCTCACTGAGTCACAAGCTGAGAAAATTATAAAGGATGGGAGTAACGACCACTTTCAAAAGGATTATTACACACCTACTTTGATGGACGAGTTTAGACCAGTTTATCAGGAGGTTTTTCACTTTGCTCATGTTAAAACTGAGATGAGATACCAGAAAAATATGTAGAGCAACATAGATCGAGGTCACTTCATACTTTTCACTATCTTAGCTCAGAACTTTGTATGGTCTAAGCTTTCAGTTGTACTCGAGGTCTATTCACTCGAGTATGTTAACCAGCAACATATCACAGTAACTAAAACAAACATGTACTTTCACAAATAACATTGAAAATAGTTTTCCCTGTGAGCTGATCTCATTATGATATCTGTTCATTGAATCCAGTTGTATGATTTCCTGAGTAAAGAGAGCACTGACTTGGAACTATATTAATAGAAACCGATTGTTAGTTTAAGAAGAATGAGAATAGATAATGTAGGGGCACAGTAACATGTGAGCTTTATACATGACCGGTTTAGACTCTCAGTTTTTTAGTGTGTGGCACTACATGTACTCCATATATTTTTCACATGTTAATATTCTCTTTTACTTCTTGGCAAAAGTAGAAAGGCTCAGGTTGCTCATACATGCAGTTAATAAATAATTCTGGCTTCCTTTTTAAAGCCTAGACTTTTGTCTCTCAGTTTAATAATGTTTTATTTCTTTAGAGGTCAGTATGGTTTTCTTGCTAATGATTCTCAAACTTTTTCTGTCATGCTTCATTTGAGAAGCCATAAAAAGTTTATGCCTCAGTTCACATAACCTTAATCAATCATTAAAAATTTAAAACAAAGGGCAACAAAGTTCATAACTGAATGGTTGTTTCCTTCATAGCTTAACTACATAAGTAGTTTTTTTCTCTCTTTTTTTTTGCACAATGCTAAATAAATTGTGGCTCTGTGACTCACTGGTGAGTTTACTCTCAATGCTGAAAGGCTATCTGGTAAAAGCAATGAAACAATGGTAGGGAAAGAACCAGACGAGACTGTGAATCAGAAGCTATTCGTTGTTTTACGCAGAATTCATCCAATTTTATTTGGGTCATCATAAAAATTCAGGAAGTAACTATGTTGGTTAACAACGTCTTACAGCTGACTCACTTTATAACCATCATCTTTCTTTCTAGGATTTATGGACTGGAAGAAGATTTTGATTTCCCCACTGCAAGAATATCATTGAATCACCAGAAACAGACCTGTAAGAAAACACATGAAACACAGGAAGACAAACCTTGTTAAGGAAATGATGGCATTTGAAATAATTGCACATTGCATTCACTAGATGGCAGCGCTTTACAGTTAACAAAGCAATATTGAAAGGCTTGAAGACTTAGGCACTGAATATCAGTGAGAAGTGTAAAACAACACTGTAACAACAGTGTTGTATTACATAATAACAGGGATTTTTAAAGTAAACTTCCCATAGAGGGAAAAACAGGGTTGTTACTAATAACATTAACAATATAACCATTCTATTCAGATGTAAAACAGTATGTTATTGCAGTTAGTGCGTATGTATAGTACCAAGGCATCTTACTGAAGCAGCTAAATATAATTCAGCTATTATTCATTTTATTGTTTAACTTTGTGCTTTTACTGTTATGATACTGTAATAAGGCTACCACACTTTAGTACGTCTATTTTTTTAAATATAATTTATTATATTGTAACATAATAGAGATATCAGCATGTCAGTACAGGAAAAGGTGAAGGTATGCAGTTATTAACATTGGCACCACATTTCATTTAGTCAAGTTGAGGTTCTGCATTTGTTTGAGTTTGCTGAAGTTTGCATATTAACCTTCCCCTAGATTTGCTTTTCCTTACATGTACTCATATTTTTGATTATTGATTTTACATTTCAGCTTTTTTCTTCTTTTTAAAGATGACTTGATACATTTTTTTCAGAGTCTTTGTATTTAAATGTATTTGCCAACCCCTGGTGTCTGGTGAAAGCACAGTATCTTCCCCCCCATTTACCTTCCACTTAGGTCTCATTTGTCTTTATTATCACTTCTGTTTTGTACATTTTAGTATTTTTATTTTCTTCTTTTAGTCAGTTATTGTAACTGCTTTGTTCTTTTTCCTACTGGACAAAATAAAAGTCCGCTTTTATGTCTTATTGCTTGATTCCTAACACCTGGATAAAATAAGATTAAATAAGATAAGTTTGATGGACATTATATTTATCTTTTCAGAACATTAATTTTAGTTTCTTCTAACTGAAATGAATTCAGATCATCTGAAGGAATATGTCATCCGCAGAGACTCAAACATACAAACTTAGCCTTACAAGGAGGGGTCTTTTGTTACTCACGTGTTAAATCTTATGACTCTGGTTTATCACAGCTAGCCAATGACTACCCACACTGTTCACATGATGTCCATTACAATAAATGTAATCAAATTATGAGGGACAAATTAAGGGCATGCACATGTGAAATTAAGAGTGTGGTCCTTCTAGTTCTCCTGCATGTGACACTAACCGTTTAATACCAGATTAGATAACTTTCAGGCGCAACAGAAGCAATGAGCTACTCTCAAAGAGGGAAGCGGGATCGATGCACAAATTCATTCAGATTAGAAACCAGTTTATATTTAACGTATATTATAAAAGGCAATTTGTTGAACTGGTACATGTCATTTTCGAGGTAGCTGAGGGGAAATGCACGTGCATGTGTTAAAAATGAGTGTGAATTATAAATGGAGGGGGACAGACGAGACCAAAGTGGAGATGTCTGACCATATTGCACTGTGGCCCTGTCCAAAACCAACAACAAGATCTAGACACCTTTCAGTCTTTGAGTCGACAATGAACTTCTCTGTAAAGTATTCTAGAGTCAAATTTCAGGCCATTTAGTTTTAAGCTAAAACTTAACCATAATTGAAACATGCAGCAGAACAATGATCTAAGTACCGTAGACAACCTACAACAGAATAGCTAAAAAATAGAAGAATCATCATGTTGCTATCAATGTCCAGATCTCAACCTGACTGAAATGCTGTGGCGGGACCTCAAGAAAGCTGTATGTATATGAATGCCAACAAATCCCAATCAACTGAAGCAACATGGGCTAAATATAATCCTGTAAAAAATGCTTTTTATTGCCATCTGTGACACATTTATCCACCTATTTTAGGGGGTTTGAGTTTAGCATTCGAAGACCACCTAAGATGAAAACCACACAGTTTAAAGTGGTCATGTCAGGATAAGGTTATGTCTAGTAAAGAAGTGGATATTTTAATGCTATTGGTATTTTTTCCTTGAAGTCAATAATAAAAAAGCTTAATAAAAGTCTCACTGAATGCACAACAACATTTAGATTGGACTGCCTGTGTTATGATGCTAAATGTATTTGAGATTTGCCCTTTGCAATAAACAACCAATTTGACATGACAAGACAAACATAATGGACTTGCAGCCATGTAGGATTATGACTTGAAAGTGAAATTCAGAGCAATTATGTAACAGTTAAACTTTTGCAATCAATGCTCTGCAGTGTTAAAGTAGAAATACAAGTTGTTTCAAATTGCTGGTCTGACCTCGGCTTTTGAGTAGTAAGGAGAATGATTACACCCAAGCTGTTTTTATACAGACTGATATCTCTAAAAATGCAAACTACTACCTTCTGTGAGGTCGTCACAAAGCTGGAGAAGCTGTAAAATCACACCCTTCCACAACAAAGAAATGCAAGTTTAAGCTGCCTTTGCCAAATATTTCCATAAATGTTCCTTCATGTTTGTGGTTTTTGCAGAAATGTGGATTGCACAACACTGGACATTTAATACTTGTACAGCTGCTGTTATTGTATATATATATTTATATTTCTTCATAGATTCTTATATATTTCTATACTGTGTATTTGTGTATTGTGTATTTTGTTGTACAGTTATTTTATTTTCAACTTTAATTTATATATTTTATCTTATTCTTTCCCAGTTAAATTTACCCTTCATTCTAATTTGTTGTTGTACAGTTATTTCATTTTTAACTTTAATTTTTATATTTTATTTTATTCCTTCCTAGTTTAATTTACCCTTTTTAATTTTCATATTTATTTCCTATCTTATTCATAGGCTTTTTTTCTTTAGGTCATGAGCAGTTGTGTAAGCATTTCACTGCATATCGTACTGTGTATGACTGTGTATGTGACAAATAAAATTTGAATTTGAATTTGATTTGAATATGTTGCTCTCTTTGCAGAGCACGTTCACTCTAGCTGGTCCGACTAATTCTGAAATCCTCTTTGTGAACATGACGTGCTGATAGAAAGCAGGATTAACCCGTGCATAGAGAGCGGGCAAGACATAAAGAGAGCTCCATGAAGCACTCAGCAGGACAGTGCCACTCACTCCACTCAACCTGTATTCAACGCTCAGGGCAATGACTGCTTTATCCCAGACACAAGTACAATATGGGGCTGTTACCGTGCTCTTCCATCATTTTTCCACTGCCCTTCTCTCTCATGACTGAAAACCTCCACTAAGATTTCGAAGACATGAGCGCAGCAGCCTCACCAAAACAAAGTGCAGTTCCTGGCATTTCCACAGCAACACCCTCTCACTGGGAGAATCTCCAAGGTGACGCCCTCTGTTGACACGCCTAGAGGTGGCTGGAGCCTTTTTTGTAGGCAGGTGCATCCTGTTCACAGACAGATGGTGTAGCCTGAGAAGGGTTTTTCTGTTATCTCTGTGGGAATACCTATGTGTAGCTTCATAACCTGTCTGGAGAGCAGCGTCAGGATAAACAGAGCAGACAAAGTGTAATTCAGATTAGATTATTAAGAAACAAATGAAGAATTTGCATTTGGAAGTCACTAACTTTTACTGAACTTGGGTGAAGACATTTATATAAATCGAGGGGTTTAAAGAAAGCAATCTTCTCTGTTTTGGCCTGCATGTTGCTTTCAGCTCTTGGATATCTTCTCTGATATTATTAAGTTGAATTTCAATGCAAGGATCTGTTATTCCAAGTCTGATCTTGGACAAACAATGGAGGAGTTTGGGGATGAGCACTTTCGAGAAGGAGAGAATGAGAGCCAGCAAGCGAACTATCGAAGATTTGTAGGGGACACTCAGCGCTCATGTACCAATGTTTCATCCCGGGAATTAAAACGTTACGTCCGGCAAAGCTCACACGGTCATGAAACTGCAGCTCAGCGATACAATGCCACACGGATCCAGGCTGGTTTAGGCCCAGAGAGGTAGGTATCAAACTAGACAGTATTTTGATTCAAATACAGCTGGTTTTTACCTTTAAAATAAGATTACTTTGTAATAACATTAATATTGCTCTTTGTTGTCACAAATTTCTCAGCTACAAGAGAAAATTTATGTCTTGCTATTAGTTAGCACTCTTGGTGATGTACATTAAGCTCACTCTTACCAGCTGCAGCTTTGCAAGGTTACTTCATGTAAATTATCTTTGTGTACCTGGATCAATTTACATGTCCACAAACACACTTTGCAAATGTGCTTGAGGTTAAATCATGCTTTCAATGTGCTGCATTCTTAGTAGTTTGGAGGCCATGCAGACAACAACACTGAGTTTATGGGCAGGCGCTAATACAATAAAAATGGCTTGTCATAGGTTGTCAAGTGCTATTTTTAACCTGGTCCTTCTGCCCCTTGTACCCACCCACACACTCACAACTCTTTGATGCACCGTCAAGGCAGGAGTGAGCAGCATGCTGCAGGGAGGATAAACAAGGCTAAAGCAAGCGCTTAGAATAGCTACAGTGCATAAAGGAACCACTGACCCATATCTGCAGTGACCCACATTTGACACACAACCCAGAGAAGGAAAAGGATCCCCCCTGAGTAACCTTTGCAAACATATCTAGCAACTCTCGCTTTGGATTAACACAGAACAAAGAAGGACTGTCGATTTAAGGGCATAAAGAGTGATTCTAAATATTGTCTGGTGATAATATCAGTCTCGAATATTATGTGGATCAGAAACAACATCTATACCGTGGTGCTTTAAACTTTGTCAACCTTTTTCACTAATTCTGCAAAAGTACAGTGCTCACAAAGGAAATGGTTTTGCAGAAAGTGGCCAAAGACTGTGCCCATCCCTCATGGTTGATATTTCTCAATTACTTATTTTTGTTAGTGTCATTGTCACTGCTGGTAGTAGTACTTGACACCCCTTCAGGCAACATAGGTCCTCCAGGATGGCACATCTATGCGTTCTGTTACAAGAAGGTTTGATTTGTCTCCCAGCACACTCTCAAGAGCGTGAAAGAGATACTGGGAGATGGGCTGTTTCACAAGAAGGGCTGGAAAGGGCCATCTGGTTCTTTGTGTGATCAAGAACAGAAGGAGCACTATCAGAGCTGCACAGTGCTGGGCTGTGAGCACAGGTGCCACTAAAGGACATCAGGACCTTATGGCATGCTTATATATGTCTGTTTCTGACAGTTTGGTCAGAAAAATGTATCAGTAGCTTTCTGGAGGTTCTTGCTTTGTTCCTCTTCAAACAAAGCAGCAGATAGAGTTTAAGCCATTCTGCAGCCCAGTCCAGTTCTCCTTGTGTGATGGCTCAACTCCTTGCAAGGAGAACATTCTTGTGACAACATGGACAGGCTCCACTTACCACTTCATGCTATTAGTGCTGACAGAGTAAAAAGGGTAAAAAGCAAAACTAAAAAAAAAAACAAACTCAGGAGGGATAAGCAGAGAGAAATGATCTGTGGAAATCACCTGCAATACCACTCTGTTTTGGAGGGTTGTCTTGTTGTTGCCTCTCCAGTGTACCTGTGACATTCACTTGCACCAAAGCAGATGAAATTCACAGTGATTCTCCAGAATCTCAACTAACTTTGTGTTATAGTGTGAAATCAATAATGCAAATCTAGAGTAAAGTGTTCTCAGTCAATATGATAATATGGTGTGATGGATCAGAATGGGAAGAGTCCACCATCAGGAGAGCACTGAACAACAATAGTGTGCATGACAGGGCTTCAAAGAGAAAGTAACTGCCCCCTAAAACAAACACCGCAGTTTGCTAAAGATAAAATGGACAAGCCAGATAGCTATCAGAGTAATGCTGTGTGAATGGATGAGCTCTGCATGTTGTCATAGAAGGAACAAAGGATGTAAAGGCATCTGGACTGAATCTCCAGCCCGGTGTTCTAAAAAATCCCCCACTCAGATAAGAAAGAAGGTAATTTTTTGGAACAGGCAAGCCAAAATCCTTATCTCGAGTCAACAGAAATGCTTAGGGTGGGACCTAAAGCCAGCTGGTTAAGGCAACACCAAACATCTGGGAGCTGAAGCTGTTCTGTACAGAGCTATGGGGAGATCTTTTAAAAATTCATGTGCAGACTAATCAACAGTTAGTTGCAAACATTTGGTTGTAGCTATTGTTTCACAAGCAAGTCACGTGTAAGAAATGTTCTTTTAGTGCTCATTAGGCTTTTTTCATCTAGTTTGATGAAGGTTTAGGTCCCATTTGCAAAGAAATAAAGACCTTTTAACTTAACAAGCTTCACAAAATTTGTAAGAAATGTTGTTAGCAAACATGCTGTTATGTTACATGGACATTTGTGTTGAATGTACAAGTTTAAAGTGAACAAAGCATTAACTTCTGACACAGTTCAGCCACCCTGTTATTGATAATTAGCCACTTATTTGGCTGTGAGGCGCATAAATGAACAACTCAGCCTGTTTCCTGAAAGTCAGGAATATATCTAATAATAAGCTGGAACATACTTGACGTTGGTGAAGTCATCCATGTGCAAAACCTTTTTTGACTGTGCCAGACCTGGTTTGGGTTATTGTTAAAAAGCCTAATTCTTTCCTTCCAGAGAATACAAGACACCCACCATCATATATATAATTGGATGAAAGTAATGCCATGCAAAACATTTATGCTCCTGGCAATACATTGTCAAATTGTCAAGAAGTGTATGGATGCATACACTGTATGGAGTAGTTTGATGTTCCTTATAATTTCAGTTCAGTATAACTGGGTGTGTACTGAACAGTTTTAGGAACTATTTGGCATCCTTAAAATAGACATTCCTACTTCCGTACTAGTTGAACTTGCTTGATTTGTTAGAAATCAAAACACCTATAGATGTGTTTTCTACTAGTAAGCTGTTTTTTATGTTTACTTTTAATGACTATGTCACATAGAGTAAGGTCTTTTTTTCAGTGGTAGAATTTTGCATTCTTAATAAAAAAAAAATTGTAAGTGAATAACAAAAGATCACAACATTTCTTCAAAAAAGGTCCTTTCCTTAAGTCAGCATAGCCAGCCTGAGTTACAGTGTGTTAAAGTATTCAAATGTTCAAATGTTATCATGTGAATGAAATGTGGTTAGTGCTGGCCTTTCATTGCACTTAATCCTGTTAAGAACCTTTACATGTGACCAAAATTTCAATTCAAGGCAATGTTTCACTAGTTTAAGGATATTAAGCCTTAAAGGTCTCATCTGTATTTCAACCTGATATGAAAGAACTGTCTATGGTCACCTGATTTTCACTTTCACTTTGTTAAAGTTCACGCTCACGCACTATGTAGGATCAATCGCCATTCAGGCTTCTGCCTTATTCTACCACGCTTGTATTTACACCAATATCCTATATTTAGTAGTAACACATGAGGATGATTTACACATACACTATAGTTTGCTAATTAAACACATTTAGAGATTTTACCAACAATACAAAAAGAGGGCTATTTTTAAGCGAAAGAAAAACTGCCAGTGTTTAAAGCTGAATATAATGATTGCCTGGTTATAACTGTGATTTGTCACTATGCTGTGGGCAGGCTGACAAAATGTTAGTTATAAAACTAGTCTGGCTGCACTTCCTTGTAGTAAACGTTTCACCTGAGCCCGTGTTGCTACTTTGATTCCAGATATTGTTCCTGATTTCAGGGTCACAGGAAGCACAGGGTTAAACTCGCCTGAAGGGGAGAGGGGATGTGACGCTGCTGCTAATATATAACACCAACACTCACTGTCTGAAGACAGCGATAGGCAATCACTTCTTGACTGGCTTCATCGCTGACGTTTACATCTTGGAGCCACAAAAGACTGCCGTTTTTCTTTTGTTTTTTTGGCTACAAAAATCCAGTTTGTCTTTCGAGGTAACGGGAACAAACTGCTTTCAGTTTTAATTGCTCTCAGTCTACAGCTGGAAAGTTACCTCCTTTTTGGCCAGCGTGGGCATCCGCTCAATGAGGTAGCTAGCTAACCGTAATCAGCAAAAGATGTTGAGTTTACCATAGCAGAAAAGATGCGTAGTTTAAATTGCTTTTGCTTACTGGTTTTAAAGATATAAGAAGCTTGTTTTAGAGTGTCGGGAGCCTTGTTTTTTTTCTCCCACAAGCGAAGCTAAAATAACAGAATAGCTAATGCTAAATGCTAATGGTTTCTCCCACATGTCTGCACGTATAGTTTAACGTATAACCAGGATGCAGCGCGTGAAAACTTTGGGATGTGTGTTTTCTTTTTTGCTTTTTTTTTTTTTTTTTTTTTTTATAAAATAACTGTTTCATTGTTAAGTGAGCAGGATGTTCATTTTATTCGTGCAGGCATTACTCTTAATGGGGCTATATGAATATTCACGAGAGTATCTAAAACTGAATCTGACGCTATTGGGGAAAACATCATTATTTGTGTCAAACATTAACGACTGATTGACTTGGCCAGCTTATCAGTTAATTTATTACTTATAATTACCGCTTAGTGTTTAGTACAAGTACAAGCTGGTTGTTAAAACACTCGTGGTGATAAGGCTTTCAGTCCTATGCCACTGAACGCAGCACCAAACTCGCTCAAAAAGTCTTCTGAAATATCACCGATCGCCTGATATACCAGAGGGTTTATTCAATATAGAAATGGACCAAAATATTTACCAAGTATTAGAATGCGGGTTTTTTTTCCGACGTGGTTTAAACACTCAAACGCCAACCTTGGGAGCAAGGTTCACCTGTTAGCTAACGTTTGCTAAGTCTAAATGAGTAGTGATTTGTAACCCAAGGTAATTCATAAGCATTTGAGCTAAGTGTTGCTAAAATGTAATAATCCGTTATAGCTTCTGGAAAATGAGCGATGTGGAGGGTCCTCGATAGCATGGATAAGGTTACACGGATGATGCATAGTCGCATCTCTGTATAAACAAAGGCAGGTCTGACTGCCATGTTTTTGCTAACTCCCGGCGTGCAGCGCAAGCAGCTAATATTTGCTAGCTGATAATGCAATGTGGGTCACTAGGGGAGTAATCGTTATCGTGCAAGTGTAGATGACACGGCGTTTTAGGTTACCGTGTTCTTCTGACATTTAATCCAGATCTTTTTAACTCTACTGTTTTGCATTTCATTCCTTGAAAATCGAAAGCATGCATGATTGGCTAATATGGAATGGTGCAGTTATATGTTAGTGGGTCACCCGGCCATGGTTTCCTTCACACGTGATGGTGTGGAGAGTAGTGCACCGTTATCTGCCTCGTGTGCGGTTTGTTTGGCATTAGATTAGTTATTAAATAATAACGTGTTTAATATTTGTATTGCACATCTCCCTTCAGCAGAGACTCGCTTTTTATTTTAGTTTTTAGTTTAGTGAGTTGTGGCTAAGCTGTGGTATTTACCCGTAGAAGTGTTGTGGGTTTCCGAGTGTCCCCTGTTTTGGGTTTAAAATGTGATCTCATCTTAAGTACCACCAGCAAGGTTGCAAGTTTAGTATAGGTTTAGTTATATATTTATGGGGGAAGCACCTTTTACGCAGGCGCACTGACCCGAGGCTGGCGGGGGATGTTGATGTTGCCATGGTTATACCTTCCTGTGAGAAGGTCACCCACCAAAGCTCTGCCTGCACAGTGGCTGTGCAGTCTGCCTGCAGAGCGTCATTACACTGTCTGTAGATGAACATCCTAATGTTGAGTGTTGGCGTTAAAACAGCTGATTGAAGTGGCTTTGTTTTGGTCATTTGACAGCATGGCAGATTACCTAATAAGTGGTGGCACAGGCTACATTCCTGATGATGGGCTCTCAGCACAGCAGCTCTTCTCCACTGGAGGTGGTCTAACATACAAGTAAGTTTCCTTTCATTGCAAAGTTTTTGTTTTGTTTGTTTTTCTTGAAAATGTTTTCATTAATTTCAAAGTAAGGTTTCCTCATTTAAAAAAAGAAAAAAAAAAAAACCTTTTGCGTAGTTGTGGGTGGAGTGTAAGCACCAGTGCTTTGTAATGGCCAACACGTTTTGAACCGGCAGATCTGACCAACAGTGTGTTGTCTCCGATGGTCAAACGGCTGAAGAGCTATGCTCTAAAGGAGATGGGTTGACTTACAAGTGAGTAAAAGAAAAAAACAGTCACCTTCAAACTGAAAATCCTTGATCTATCTAAATAGTGAATTCATAGAGGAGAAGCAAATATTTGTTCTTCTACAGCAACTTTATTTTGACTGCAACAAACTATATCAGCAAATCCCATGAACCGCGGCGCATGAAGGCAGATGGTAGATATAAGGCTTTGTGAAATTCTTAACTTGATTTGGGTCATGGGAATGAAAATTGCTTTCACGGGACATGGCTGTTTTATTAACTTCAACTAATCATCAAAGTATGTGACCTCTCCTGTAAATGCAGAAAGCATGATGGAGCAGCTTGTGCTCTTTAGCATGGATACTTTAGATAAAAGCACTCATTAAGCACTCATTTCTGACCTCTTGCAATTCTTGCACTCCTTTGCTTGACATTCTGATGACATGCTGTATAGACACATTCATGCTGGATTTTGCGTAGAATTATTTTTCTTCATTAACTCTTGTAAATAGCCTTTTATTTTCATAACCATAAATGAACAAAGCAAGCTAAGTTGTAGTGGTTGTTTGGCACTTATAAACAACCAGTTTAATCTTGTCTGCATTCATAAGTTCCCTATAATGCGTCACGTGTGGAGGGAAAGGTTGCAAACGTGACTGCCTGAATTGATATCATGTGAATTTCAGGGGTAATTGATAAGAATGAAATTCAGATCAGTCTCTCGACCTCCTAATTAACGCAATGCAGATAGCTGACTCAGCATATATAGTCCACCTTAATATTTTTTATATGAATGAAAAAAAATATTTGATTAAACTTTTTTTTTTTCTTGGAGGAAATAGTCAAACAGGGAAACTGATACACAGTTGCAGGAAGACAGAATCAGATTTCTGTGAGTGGCAGCTTCCTGCTATACCAGATGCAGCAACCTTGTTCTGAACGTGTCAACATTTTGCCCCAATCAAGTCTACTTTCACACCTTTTCTTCCTGTAATGGCCCTCAAGGTGCACGACTGCCTGTATACCGACTGTCTGTTCAAGGCAGTGTTAAGAGCACACAAAAGAGAGTTTTAGATGCCGACACTGTTCAGTACATCTTCAGGTTCCTTCCTGGACATGTCTCTGTTCTAATGCAGCTTGCTGACACAAACAGGGTATTTACTGTGGTTGCATATGAGGTCACTGCCATCCACACAAAGCTACAGGCTTTAAGTAACCCGTTTAATTCAAGCTATATAAATAAATGTGTGAACTTTTGAGACTTGGAGCTGAGTGTACACTTTCAAAAATCATTTTAAATGTTAAAGCTGGTAAGGAGAACTTACATGGCAGCATTCTCCTAGAACCTGATAATGGGGTAGGGTCACACTTAGCCAAAGTTACCTCAGGCTAAGGATGGAATATTTTAAGCATGACATTATGATCTTTAGATAGTAATGAAATGTTTCTTTGGTAGTTAGTTTTAATTAAGGGAGGTGACTCGGATACAGTGATCTAACTTGTACCAATTAACTTTAATTATAGGATTGTAGAGTGTGGGCACATAGTGCTGTACAAACCTTAATACCTTCAGAGCTTCGTTTCTGTGCTTTGTCTTTCAAAATCAGTGTCAGTTTTACCCTCAACCAAGCTCTGAAATCTAACTAAAACCAAAATAATATTAATAATAATAATAATAATAATACAGTGCGGCTAAAACCTGTGACAATACACACAACTGTACAACTTCAGTGCCAGCGAAAAAGCTGACAGGTGAAGGCCAGTTGTGGCCTTTGGTTTTACTTTGAAACCATTAGCATGGTAGATTTGTCTACATTTAACATTCAAATGCAACCTGTGTGATATGGCCGAGCCAGTGTTTTCTTTAGGAGTCAAAGCCAACATGGCAATCAGGTTACTGCTGACTTGGGGTCAGCAGTAAGCAGACAGTATAGTCTGTGTGCTACAGCTGCGGTTTGTGGCTTGTGCTAAATGACAGCAGATGTTCCCTGGACGTTTTGCTTGTCCCGTTTTGCGCTTTAAAGTGAGGGTAGGCAAAGCCTTCTACCAGATTTCTCAACTCCTGTTCTCAGTTAGACCCGCTTTATGTTTGTGTACTGTTACCTCATAGTTTCCTCCAACATTCACTAGATGTATAAAGCTTCACTTATTCCTCCTTATTTCCATTTGTCCCCTGCTTTTTTCCCCCTCTCTCTCTTACATAAACATCTCAAAAAAACCACAAAATACATACAGACTCGAGCTGAAAAATAAACACATCATTCCCACGTCTGGTGCTCGCTGCTTCACTCATCTTTCTGCCTCTTATTGTGTTTATACAGGCCAGGAGCTGAAAAGAGGTCAACTGTAGCTTTTTACCAAGTAGAGGGCACACCCAGCTGCACTTAGTGTCTGTACTCAGCCGCAATGCCATTTTGTCATTTTTTGGAAACCACGATGTGGTGCAAGAGCGTCCAAAAATGGGTTGTTGTCCTTGCTAAAAATATTACACAGGAGAGGAGTGACTCTGAAGGAAACTGACTTAAAAAAATATTCAGATTATTACAAGGCCTTGATTACAATCAGAAGTCTATTCACATTCTTTGCTAATCTAAATAGTTCTGTTATGACTACAGTTTACTTTAACCTCTCTTCGTCCCCAATTTTTGATCTGTAGTACTTTTATTAGTTTGTGCAGTACACCCCATTTGCTATGAGATACTCCTCAAAGTTGTGAAATCCTTTAATTCATCTGGTTTTCTTAGGCGTGCCATTACAAGCTTTCACTGAAACATATAGAACACCATCTCCTGGAATATTTCTGAGGTGTTGTTGGCGTTTTAGACCTCACAATACTGCTAAACTGCTGCTATTAGCCCCTTACTTTGCACTTTGCTTATGTCTTTCAGCGATTTCCTGATTTTACCTGGCTTCATCGACTTTACCTCTGACGAAGTGGTGAGTAGCGTACACATGTGAACGAGGAATCTGAGTCATATTTTTGCCCTTTTAAAACAGTCTGCATCTTTTGGTCTCTTTCTGCTTTGCTGCTTTTTTTTCCCCCGAATGTGGTCACCCACTGGCTGCTCCCTCACCCTTGTGTTCACATTTGTGTCCGGTTAGTTACTCATCTTGCAGCAGGCAAAAGGGGGGTTAATCTCAGGGCTTTACGGGAAATCCCTCTCCTCTGCTTCGTCTATCTGAAGGTTTAATTTAGTTTTAATCTCTTTCCGTTTCCTTACGAGTTAGAGTGCTTTCTTTACTATGGGACATATTTGCCTGGCTGCCATGTTATGTTCTAGTTGTTTTCTCCACAGTCTTGGTCTGCCCTAGTTTTTCTCAGGATAGTGAACCTATTCATGCTTAAATAACACAAATGCTTGCACAACCTTGAATAGTAAATAAGTCTAAATACTTTGAGGGATAGAAGCATGAAGTAGTGCTGTGTGTATAGGGTGGTGGTGGTTTGGGACATTGTTTGCAGTCATGGTCTTCCTCACATTCTTTAATACCTCACAGTAGAATTTAGCAGGTTGGTGCAGTTGTGTGCTCTGGCAAAGTGGCGTTAGGCATTTTCTCTGGCCTTCACCATAAACCTCTAAAAAAAACGCTGCAAGCACCCGCTATAGTTTATGTCTACATAAGATACTGTTGAGCCACTTTCCTGGTTTCC